GTCTGAACCTCCATGAAACTTTATGTACAGCATAGTCCAGAATATCGAGATGTTAACATTTTAACTCAAAGTTCTAATGAGAAGAATGTACCAGAAGACAATGCTCAATGCTCGTGTTATGGAATTTTAGTTCTGTACCTGAGATTTTGTCGATGGATATTCCCTTTTTGTGTTTTCATAGATCTGATTAATAATGAAGTACTAGATTGGCGTAATTTCATGTCTGAATTTCGGGGTGACAAGGGCTCAGAAATAAGTACATAAAGCACCAAGTCTACGTCGAGCGCAAGATCGGCAGCCTTCGCAAATCGTAACAGTGCAGCTCCCCTAAATAAATGCGTCTGATTGGCATAAGACATAGAATACAGCTCGATTCTTGAAATTCTCAGGAGCCTCAAGCCTCCAGTTGTTCCTTGTTGTCATGACCAGGGCAATTAGAAGTTGTAAGAAGTTGCAAGTTCTTGTTTTTGGTCATTAATGATGCATTCATTAAATAAATTCTTCTTAAAGTAACAGGTTTAGGGTTTCATCTTAGAAAGATAGTTCGATAAGGTGCAACAAAATTGTGAAACTTACTTCGGTGAAGGTTGGGTCTTGGCCTTGATATAACAATGAATGCAGACGTGCACGCTGAGATACTTGTGAGCGGAAGACTACAAAGACGCTGTGAAGTTCTTCGTTTGGACTAAAACGATGAGAGCGTATTTTTATTCATGACCCTCAGAACTCATCACCATTTCATGAAAAGTTAATTTTTCACTTGAAAATGCTAGAGAGTATGTGTAGTGACATGCCTCATCAATTATGCAAAGATGAATCCATAAATATTTACATCACTCCATCCACTAATAAGTGAAATGTTGTCACTAGATAGCAATGAGCTTCTATTGAGATGTCTTGATTCACACACTGGCAAGACACACAATTTTGTTGATGGAGTCTTTCAAGTATAGCTTAGATCGAATGAAGCCTATGTCGGATGAAATTTTCTGTCAAGCGAGGTTTGCAGAAAGCATGGATGTGTCTAAGTCGACCGATGTGACTTCGGGAAAGTGGCAACTAGCTTTGGTATCTTGCGTCGGTCCAGTTGAGGTTGAGAGAGCTTGCCCAAAGCCACAACACTCCACACGTGCGAAAGATGTTTCTCATAGAGGTGGCCAAGAATCCATACAGAGTACCACCTCGTATATCGTCTTCTACACCTCGTAAGGGTATCGTAAGACACTTCTTCATCCTTCAGCTCTTTGAATGACATATTGAAAACTTCGTCTATGTCACTTTCCTCTTCGCCCACATCATTTGATCCCTGACACGGATTCAAGGACTAAGAAGACTATAACCATTGAGAAGAAGCGTTCATTTCAGTCAAGAGTTGAACTCTTAAATGTACGGATAGATCAATCAGCAAGCTCCGAACGCAGACTTTTAACTCTGAACAAAAACTTTTGGCAATATGATAGTTATGATAGTCAAAGAGGTCCATCATACACTACGACCGCAAGAGAGTGAGACAACATGACATTGACCAAATGTACAGGAAAAATAGGGTGTAAAATACTAGTATTAATATATATACATTTTTAATATGATATTCTCTTCAATTTCATCTTACAAAATAACGAACACTATCATAAAGAGAAAATTGGCTCATCTTTTTTTGAAATATTCATTTGAATTTGAATAAAGTCTAAGTATATTTTATGACATAATAAACATATGAATGTTCAATGAGAATTTGATCCTTTATGTTTTTGTATCATTTTCTAATCTATTTTAATTAAAATAATTATTGATAAAATATATAAATAAATAAATTTAATTTGATTTCTGAAGAAAAAAATTTGAATAGCATATATTATTGCATCTAGATACTTCAATTTTCATTATATTTATTTGATATAAAAGAGTATGATGTAACAATGAAAAGAAAACTTACAAGATGAATGATGATGAAAATGATGTATATCTCTCAAATAATTTTGTATGATATTCAAGCAATATAAAATCTTCAATGAAACATTATTTGAATGAAAATTTTCTAAAAGTGAATATAAATCTATTAGTACAAAAACTCTAGTTGATGTAAACTCTAGTTGATTATCTGATTGAATCGGATTGAATGAGAGGATCTATAAACCAAATTAACCTTATAAAATTTGATTACATTTGATATCTGATTTTGTAATACGTCTTAAATCATTTTGATATTTATAAATAACTGAAAATTATTTTTTTCAGCTTATCAAATATAACCAAACATTAAATTCAATTAAATTTTATAATTTTAATTGTATTCTTAATACATCCAACTTAAATTTCATCAAACACCAAATTAAGTTTCAATAACATTTGATGTTTGATCATCAAATAACTTTAAATAATTAATTTTTGTTATAGATTTATAATTTATTATGATCAACTAAATTACAGTAAAGATAATTTGCATCAATATAAAAAAATTGCATCATTATGCTGGAAAATTATGAGATTCAAAATAAAAGAAAAAGATCAAAACAAAACATCTTTTTCAGGTAAAAATGAAATTCATTATGAAATATTTTCAAAAACTATCAATTATACATTCAAATTAAGTATTAATAAGAATTAAATATTTTGAGTTATTTTTTGACCCTAATTTTGATTTAATTCCTAGCATACTTTTTATTTTAATCTATATATGTGTTTTAAAAATTTATATTCAGTCTTGCCTTTGATAAATAATTTATTGACTCAATCTATTGAACTATATTTCAAAATACAGTAATTCCATATTTTATGTTCTCAAAAATAACAATTTTTCAAAAAGAATTCACATTTCTTACTTTATGTAATATCTTTTATGTCTTGTATAATATATATTTTTTAATTTTTTCAAATTTTATATAAATTTCAATTCACGATTAAATCTTGATGTGAGTTTTTTATTTCTCAAAAAATCAATTTTTTTAAATGAAATTTTTTCAAAATATTCTATGACATTTTCATCTTTGAGGAATAGTTAATTTTGTTTTCATAATTGATATCAATTTCATCAGCTTCGTCCTTAGATGAATTTTCGTTATCCGAAATAAATAATACAAGCTAACCAAGTGAAGAATTTATTGAAGATTATTAAAATAAAATTATATATATATATATATATATATATATTAGTTATAAATAATTGTATTCTTACATTCACAATAATCAAACTCTCATCAATAATAATATATTAAAAAAATTAATCATTGAACTTTTACTCTTCTACATTAATCAAATCAATATTCATTAAACTAAAGTAAATAAACCAATTATGTTTTCCAATTCATGTTTTTTTTTCCAGTTCATGGTAAGGATCTGTAATGAAATTACTTCAAGCAAATTATAGTTTCTCAATTTTGGATTTTGATACTCAAAGGAATAGTTCAACATTCTTTTTTATTTTTACATATAATGAATGAATTTTTACTTACTTAAAAATATATTATTTAATAATTTTATTCATAATAATGTCTAGTTTTTTCTTTGACACACAGAAATATTTTATTTAATTAAAGATATATTTATGTATCAAATGTACACAAGATTTCTTATTTATTGAATTATTTTTAAATCAAAGTTTTGCTTTGCAACTACTTCATGAACAAATTTTAATGAATGCATTTTTGTGCTTCGAAACATGAGAATTATTTGTCATGTTTATATCTGAATTAATATAATTTGTTTGAGAAAATATGAAGCAAAAATTTTGACTTGAAAAAAAATTAAATCTCCTTAAATAATTAGTTCAATTCATGTAAATTTCTAATTATGTTTAAAATACATGATCATTTATAAATTATAAATTATTATTTTTTAAACATGGGTTATTTTTTTAGATATTTTGATAAAATTATTGTTTAAAATGAATGATTATTATGATTGAAATTGTTCCATTTTGTAAAATATATAGAATACCAAGTCAAATATTTTCAACTACTTTTTTTCTTATAAGTGATTCTTACATTAAATTCACATTATCCAATTCATGAATTTCAAAAATACTTTCTTTCATGAAATTCTAAGTATTATTAATTATGTTATGAAGTTATTAAAAGTAAATTTTTGCTTCACTTTTTACACTAATAATGATTGATATTAGTGATGATAATATCTTAGTTGTAGATTTGTTGATTTCAACTGCCAATCTTTGAACTTTTTAATAACTCTTCGATTGGATCGTTTTAGTGTAACATCCATCCATTGGGGAAGGAGCGATTGGAAAACAACCGTCGGAAGCTGTTCTTTAGCTCGAATAGCTTGCGTTCGAGGCAATACATATGGTTGCAGTTTGGCTAAATTGTTAATAATCACTTTTTCCCTCCTAAAATTTCTCTTCGCTAGTATGTCCAGCAGTTTGTGAAAGTGTCTCTTGAATTCCCATAATAGAGGTGTAGCAGTCAAACCCTTGGGTTTCTTCATCTATTCCAATGATGACTTCTTTGATGATCAAATCTGCATTTGCCAAGTAATAATTCGGTCTCAAGTTGGAGAGTTTCAAAATGCTATTTTGTGACAATTGTGCCCACAAACGAAGTATGTTGTGAGTTTTTCGTGTATTCCATGTCACAACGCAACACCAGCTCCATAAGAATCAATTGCCCCTCACGTTTCTTACTGAGTTTACATATAACACACACTATGGTAGAACTTATCCATGTAAGAGTGTGAGCGACTGGTTTGAAATCAAAACTAAAATCAAGAATAAAGAACAAAACATGACGGGACAATTCACCAAGTGATTTAACCAAATAAATGTACATCAAATGGTGTTATTGAGTACATAAGTTTAAGATGTGATGGCTCAATAAAATATGACACAAAGGAATAAGTAAAGATCAACTTACGTTCCAAATTCCCCTGAGAGTCACAATGATTGTTTGTCAATGATGTATCTCAAAGTGACGTTTTTCCTCTAAATATCATTCACCCATAGTTTCACATTCTACACTTGAGAGAGTGGGTTGAAGATGGGAAGCGTTGACTCTGGAACGTTTTGAACTGCAGAAGCAGACAATGTGTTTCGCTGGTAGGGGGTTTCAGGGCAGATGGCCTCACGGCACAGCGCAGCACGGTCGATGCGACGAGCAATGATCATCCGAGAAGTCAAGGAGGTTGTGAAGAACTCGGACGCGTGAAACTGCCGCTCCGAAATTGCTATCATGGAGAAGAATCGTAGCAAAGTGGGCGGTAAAGACAAGAAGCAAAAGCGCAAAGAGGTACATGACAGTGTTTCCTGCGCTCGTTGTTGTATGACAGGGACCCTGCTGCGAATTGAATCGCGGGAACATAAATTTCGAATTCCGATCACCCGAAACGAACCTGATCGAGGAACAAACCGTTTGCGTAGCTGGAAATTTATATTTGAGTGCTGAATTATATTCAGTCAAGGAAGGAAGGAAGAAACACTTCCTTCCACTGCCAATGTCGAGGCAGCGTGAACTAAGGACGCTCACCTGGAGATTTCTGCTGAAGTATAATCCTCTGCTCCTGGAACCTATTCAGATTTCTTGGCATGCTTGAAGAGCACGGCAAAATCGAGACCCTTTGTGCTTCCCTTTTCTTTTATATATTTTGATGCAGTTTTGGTTTAAGTGCTTTGATGTTGTGAAGTACTGGTATTCATCAGATACTAGCAATACCTCAGTACTGCAGCCTAGCTGAGCTTAGCGTTTTTAGTTACGATAATCCACAAGAAACCACCTAGGAAAATTACAAGGATTGTACTTTCGAATAATTATAAGTCACTTGAACGTTCTGAAACTAGTTTGTCACGTGCATGACATTTTTACAGGCGTCAGGAAAATGTCAATTTGGATCTTTCATTTGCTGATTTATAAGGGCCTTTTTTACAATTCTAACACTTTAGGATAATCTTTTTTATTTTTCTACATTCAGGACTATTTGAAGTCATTTAAACAGGTCATACTGCTGATTGTGATTCGTTACTGCTGTCTATGACTAGCTCTATGCTTTATGTATAAGGTTTGGTTTCTACTCTTGTGACTGTAGATGTCTCAACGAGGATATCAGAACCCCTCCTTACGCAACCTGTGAATGTAAATGGGTGTAACAAATCTCCGAAATACTATCGCACGACGATTTCCCTGAAATTTTTGGTACATTGATAAAGCCTTGGATAGTCGATGTTTCGGATTTAATTAGTTGTTGCTCACGTCATAGCACAGCAGAGTTCTGAAACCTTCATTTGTTTCTTCAGGAGCTTGCGAAGAAGAAGACCTTGGACGATCTCTTGAAAGTAGCATATGCGAAGGAGAATATCCTTGCAGAGTTTCCTGCTTTTTTAAAGTATGAACGTAATGGTGAGTTTATCAAAGCTCTTGGCGAATTTCTCTTCGATAGTAGCTTACCTTTGTCTCTATTGAATTTGACATGGTGATTGTCAGAGGAAGGAATAGCGGTGTGTTATAAGTGTTACTTTGTAACTGAAGGATATTTCAAACGTTGCAGGTCTGAACCTGACCATCGAGTATGGAACGGGGGAGAGCTTATCGTCATCAATGAAGGATTACATCATGAAACTTTGCACGGTATAAGACCATACAAGAGAGTTGGTATTGCTTAGAAAACTGCAATACTTGTACATAGTCTAAATTCTACCTTCATTTTGTGATGTGCACGGGTTTATTGCGAACTTTGTATCTAGTGATTGAACCGCAGTGTAATCATCTTCAGAAGGGTGAACATGCCCTTTAGTACTTTAGTACTGATGAAGTTGAGGGAAACAGTGATGAAGTCGTAGAATTGTAAGTTTGTATTTCGAGCTTTGTATAACAGGTAAACATGGAGGGTCCGTTCGGCGACGAGTGGCCACAAGAGCAGAAAAATAAACGCCGAGAAATGGTCTCACAAGCAGCTCGGTACATCATTCTACGACAGACCAATGGTAGTCAAGTTAATGCCGAGAATGAAGCTCAGGCCCTGGAAAGCAAGAGCACAGAGCAAAAGCAACAAAGTTTGTGGACTGGAGAAGGAGATCCGGTTGTTGCTTTTGTCCAATTTCGTTTCATGATTGATCATGATGTACCAGTCCTTTATGTATATGAGCTGCAGCTGGAGAGCTGTGTACAAAGAAAGGGTCTTGGGAAGTTTCTCATGCAGTTCTGCGAGCTAATCGGACGCAAGGTTGTTTGGATATTCTCTTGAATATGGTTCATTCGTGTTGATGAAGTGTATTAACTTTCATTAATGCCCAGGTATATTTGGGCGCTATCAACAGTAGCTAAACCTCTACGTGTGATAACCTATATTAAAGTGTTGTAGTGATTATCTAGCCAAGCCATCGCACATCTGGAAATCGAGAGGAAGAATGTGCAGCAGAGTAGTTTACGAACTGTTGTATTAAATCAAAATTTTACATGGATAGCGTAGATGACATATTTTTGCTTCTCATGTCTTATTCGATCTAACTATATTCTGATGTGACTTACGTCCTGCACGCTAATAATATAAAAGCCTGTGCTGCTAGGGAGCGAGTAATTGTTTTTCAAGGAGCCATTACATCTTGTCTACATGATTCTCTCAACAATATTGAGAGACTCATGTGAATTTGTCAGTTGATTGTGAAGGTTGCAACTCAGAGTTGTCATTGTAATGTGGGGTTTTGCTGAAGTTGAATTTAACTCCATAAGCACATGTTGCTGCAGAATCAGATGAAAGGTGTAATGCTTACGGTGCAAAAGAAGAATGTTGGAGCCATGAATTTTTATACGTCAAAGTTAAGGTGATGATCTGCATTCTGGTCAAGCATCCACACGAATGTTAGAAATAACGTTTCGATTTCAGTTCCTGGTACTGATGAGCACCAAAGCTGTTTGCAATATATGTAAAGTTCCGGCGGTCAAAATTTACACTCTGGTCATTCTATCTACATACATGGTGAATCTTATCTAACTATGTTCCTAAGGTTAAAAGGGAAGTTGAAGTTTGGAGCTAACCATCCCAAAAGAAGAGAGGGGCATTTTGCGGCCTTCCTTTGATGAGTTTCTCTGACAATCTTTCTTTTGCAGGTATTCTATATCGGCTGTATCTCCTTCTAAATGGGATCCAATGGTAAGCGATGGTTTCTTGTATCCTAGCAGCGTGTTCTTGGATGTCTTCGTAGCTTTGTGACAGAATATACCTGTCTTTCTACTTGAGGTTCTTTGTTTGCCAAAATTTAGGTGAACATGAGAGGTCATTCGCCACAATTAAATACTAGGAGGGAGTCATAATATCATATTACCTGAAAATATTTTAGGATCCTGAACTCAACTGGATTTCTATGTCTTATTGAAGATTGGTTCGGATGCGAGCTACGAAATATTATGCAAGACCTTCGATGCTGAGGCCAAGGCGATCTTAGAGGTATGAGTAAATTCACTCTGACCAGGATATAGCTGAAGTAGGAAACTTGTGATTGTAAGTCATGTCTTCTTCAGGTTTTGTTGTATTCAAATTGAAAATCGCTCTCCCTTGGATAGTCTTATTTTGACCTTTCTTCTTTTTCAGTTTTTCTGCAATCAACGTCTTATCTTCGATGTGCTGTATTTAATACTATTGTAATTGTCAGGATGGACGGCCCGAAAGTTGATCGGTATATTCGAACACGGTTTGTTTGCGAAGTTCTCTTTATGTGTTCGTTCTTAATATCGCGAAATACTTCAGCACACGAGTGGGGCTGGGAACAAGTATTTGTTGTGGAGGTTTTGAGAAGCTTGGTGTTACAAAGACCAAGGAGAATTGGTTTCAACTATTTGGGTGGTTGTTTGCCTATCGGACATCTCTTAGGAAACCTTAGCTGCCTGCGAATGGAGGCGCTCCCGTGCATGACTTTTGCAGGAAGCAGCTTCTACTTTGACACGTATCAGTGGAAAGCCACACTAGTGTTACTCGTATACCCTGGCAGCAGCCTATACTCCCAGATTGAGAGGACCCAGAGCACCGCGCTCTGTAAGGCTATGGAGTGTCAGAGAAAAAAATGTCCTCTCATCAACATCACCCTGGAGAACATTCGTTTACGAGAAATGGTCATGGCGAAGTTTTCAGCAAGGACCGTACAGAAAGTAATTGGCTTCAACTGCATGCAGAGTAAAGGCTTTGGCAACCTCCTCAAATGAGGATTGTGAGTTTTTTAGTCGACATAGTACACGCCGAGCAGGAAGTGTGCTAAATGACTTGAGTCGGTGCTTAGCGGGAACGGCACTGTCAATGTACTTTATCAGAGATTCAAGGGTTCGTCCATGTCTTTAGCCCAATTAGTGTCCACTCAAATTACCTGCGGTCGGCAAGAGCTGGCGGTGAAGACTTAGAAGAGTTGTGGTGTATATCCTCTTTCATCCAGCCGGGAGAGATGAACGGCTTTGTCATTTTCTACCTGGCTACAATGATAATACAAAAGATTGCGTGTTCACTTGATCCTTTCTGTTCTCAAGTGTCAGTTTAGTAAACGTCGTTACTCCGGGAAGCTGGTTTCTGGGTAATTCTTGTTTGATACAGATGACTATCTTTCCAGTTGTAAGTTCCACTTTTCTAAATCGTCCAGAGGCATTGCTCTGCGTCAAGGCTGAGTCAGGACTCGGCCTTGACGCAACAGGTTACGACATTCTCCTGACTGACTGAAAGTTCAGAATGTGGTCAAATGTGACCTGTGTTCCACTTCACCACAAAATGACTTCAAAGAAAGAGGAGCTTTGCCTTTTCGCCAGCAGTACCGGCACAAACATATTTCCTCATTCTTTGAATGGTGTTGTAAAGAACTCTGAAGGTGCATTCAAAAGTCTTCGTGGGTACACTTATATGGCGTGAAATCTCATCGAAACTATTTAGCGGCAAGTGACAACTGTTGTGGTGTTACAAAGAGGAGGTAGGGACCCATCCCGGATTGGACGGCAATTGGTCACAACCACTTTTTGGAATGTTGGCTGAGTGTCAAAAGGAAGTACGTATTACACACGACGCAGGTAAGCAAGTCGCAGACACCCTCAATGTGCGCTTCTCTTAGTCAGGAAGACAAGCTGAACAGTATGGATGGATGATGATGAGCAGGGCATGCTGGTGTTGATAACCAATTATCTATTATTTTTCCGGTCGTACGCACGGCAGTTGGAATTAACAGCTTCTCAACCTTTGACCCTGCAGAGGGAACACATACCTGCCCCTAAGCTACAGAGAGTTACCTGTCCATCGTTTAGAATCTCCAGATTACCCGCGGGTCGGAACAAGACACATGGCCCCGTGAATGACGAGGCTCATATAAACTATGGAAACAAATAGAAGCTAAGACTCAAATGGTCGACAAGTAGTAGAACGACTGAACCAACCGTAGATTTTGAGGTGCTAAAAAATATTATCAACTGCCTCTGCACCCACTCCCTAGTTCTGCATGAAGATTGTATTCTTTCTTTAGGCATGTTCTCTAAGTGAGAAAAAGTATCTAGACGGAGTGGGTAAAGTGTGCTGCACACGAGGTGAATGGAAGGTCATGGCAGATCGAGTACAGTATGTAGCAATGACATGTGCTCAGGAGAATTCAGGGACACTGAGTTCATTTATAGGACATTTCAATCCCATCTGTCAACTACAAACTCGGGGAAGGGCGTCAAGTATTTAAGCGAAGACGATGTACAGAGAGCGTTAAGTTTCAAGTCAAGTCAAGCGTTAGTGGAGATAACCAACCTAGCTTGTATTGTTGCAAGAGTAAGAACGTAGGCAATAACTAGATTCACCAAGAGAATGGAGAGCTTGCTTTCGTTATTAATGCATCATGATAGAAGGCATGTTCAATCAACGAGCAAGAAGTAAAGAACGAAAGCTCATCTCATACCTACGAGACAAACATACTCGTTATAAAACTACATATAAAAGAAATTACTCATATCGCCCACATGCTCTCGCATATATCTACAATCACGATAGGAACGTAGCCGGATTTACACTTCTCTTAAAGACACTTGCTACATACATCAATTTCTTTTCCTTTTGTTTCAATATTTCTGATGCTAAGAAGCGAGAGGATTAAAAAAGATGCAAAGAGTGACTTTGTTGCGAAAGATGGCAAATTTGATGTTTTCTTATCAACAATGTAAAAAATTTCATACATCAAATACAGATTTTGGATATTGTAATAAAATTAGATAATCTACGTGTAATAAGTTGTCATCAATTGATATTCGTGAGTAATATGAAACCAAGTCTTTGTATACAACTTGCACTTCAAAAATTAAAATTAGTCGAATTTAGATATCAGGCTCGAAGGTGTAGATGTTTAGAAACCTTCAAATCAATTCAAGCACTTACTTTAACATGTTGACTTCCAACTCAACATGGAAGTACTGTAAGTGCTTGATTGCCTTTTTGACTTGGAAGTTAAAAATTTCAAGAGTTGATTAATGTGGTATACATTAAAAAAGTCGTCTAATCACTCACTCAAGAAAAAACCTCACAAACTGACACAAAACTTATAGTATAATATAGAGTTATAATATGAGTCATGATAAAAAAAATAAATATTCAAAAGATGACTCTTATCAGTGGACTATTATGAACATTGACTTCGTCTGATGAACAAGAACTGATCTAGTGATAAGCAAGAAACGCATGTTGTCTTCCTGGGACGCACAAGGGATGGTATGGAGCATGAGATCTTTCTCCTAAAATAAAGAAGCCCTAGAACAAAATTGACTAGAAGGCTTTATACTTTCACGACCCATAGGTATACAAGGATCTACGTAATCTACGTGGTCTCTAAAATGGAATGTCAGATGTGATAGACAGCACAAAATCTACTAATTAGTAGCTAAAAAAATTACCCCCGTGCCTGTTGCTCACGAAGCCTGAATTATGAAGTTTTGTTGAGTCCATGGTCCCGGATGCTGCTTGTCTCCCAACTCCTTAGATATCTCCTTTTATTTGCTTTCTTTCTGTTGATTTCGGCTTTCATCACAAGGATTCTTGCACGTTGTCCTTATTCTTTTGTGGCATATGGACTAGTAATGGCTCTTTCGCTTTGTGATACCTTTTTGCCATGGTATTCTTTTCTGCTTGTTGCATGAACCTGGTCTACTCGCCCGGAAATTTGCCATGGAGACTTGGGACAAGTAGACAAGGTTATTGAACTCAGGTGTGATAGTTTTCATTATATATTTTCCACTGCGATGCTATTGGCTCCTAGCCCCGTTCCATCCCTTTTAAGACTTGGGGTCTTTCATGCTTTTGGTCATCTTACTGTGCACCGTGCTTGAAGTGAGTTTAAGTGGAAGTCGCAGCCGCTTTGGTGGAAGCTTTTGGATGATCACGTTTTACGTTTGAGACCTGTTACGCATAAGAAGAAAATATTCCCCATCCGCACTCTCGAAGAGAGTTTGATGGCACAAACTGTAAGTTCAGATGCTCTGATGCCTTCATGGTAATTGCACATCCATATGAGCATTTTATTAGACTTGGAATTGTTTGCGGATATTATTAGCGTCAATGCCAAATAAGCGAAATGAATGAATGTTCTTGCCTCTCTGTAAAAATTTTTTTTATATAAAAAATGCAAAACGTTTAGAACTAGACGTCAAGGCCACATTTCCCTTGGATTCCCTACCGAGGAAACAGACAGCAGACGCTGCCCAAGATATTCATTCGACTTACTAAATATCAGTTATAACCACGATAACGGGGAGTGTCGTTTTTCCCCGACCAGTAACGATTTCGTCATGTATATTCGTTTCGAGCTCCATATTCCAACCCAATGTGCGGAGACCTCGTTGAAAGATCATGAACACCGTTTGACGCGGAAGATCATAGATCCTTAACTTCTTGCAGAACCGAGTAAAGATATATTTCAGATATTAATGGGACCACACATTTATACCATACTAGCGCCAGTGATCTGATCGTGCGAGCTATGGTGATTGCACTTCTAGGACATGTGCTCTATCTGGTTATCATGAACCGTAGTTGGGAGCCTAGGATTGGGCCTAGGCACATCTGCATGGGCATTGGATTTGGTGGTTGTGGTGGCTTCATGGAGGGTGGGCCTGACAACTCCACAATGTCCACATCTGGTTTGCATGGTTGCAGCGAACGAAGCGAAATGATTCTCAATGATCACAATGTGCGCCAGATAGAGTCCCTCCACATTTAGCGGTGCTTATCACGTGGGTCTCACTGAAAGCATGTCCGCCCGACCGGGCCAAATATGGCCACGAACACGACAACCACAGATGGCTTTTATCCTCTAAATCGGCGGAGAGGACACTTCCCGCGATTTCATCCTTGGCGAAATCCCGTTAAAATTAGCCACGGCTGAGACTAGTCAGTTGGCAGCTGTTCTCTGGAGGCGAATCGCCTTTCCAGAGTCCAATTCGGGACCGGCGATTACACACTCCTCGCAAATCGAATCTGGAACTCGATGTCGCGATCCTCGTGCATCGGTCCGTCCAAGTCTGTGACTTGCTAAGGTTCCGGCTCTTCCTGTTTCTCCCTTCCGTAGCAACAGAATCCGACTCACGGGCTTCAGCCGCACTGATCTGTCGGCGTTCACATCCCGACTCCCGGCATGAAGCTCTGACACATTCCACTCTGCCCATGCGGTGTCTGCTTGTCAGAAATCCCTTCCCACTGGAGCATTGCAGTCCCGTATCCTCCCCTAGAGCACATTGCTCTGCTGGTCCGTGGAGCTGCAACATGCTCGTACGTACAGTATTTTTCTTGGGAACTGACAGTACAGTACAGTACTTTCCTTCGTACAGAGATCGACGTTTGCTTCAAGGACTGGCGCATCAACGATGAACACTGTCGATTGTCCCCGTGATTTTGGAGCTTGACTGCAGTTACAAATACCTCGTTACAGTGAATGTTTCGTTAAAGAGGAAAACCTTTGACTCCTCTTTTGTTGGGTAGTAATCTTGCAATTGATGTACAACCTGGCATGGGAGTGGGGATACAGAAATGATTTACAGTACATCCAGTGATTCCTAACCTAAGAAATTAGTTTACAAGCTTTAAACCGCTAGATGATGATTTTTCTAGACTTTCATATTATTAGCACGAAACGGTTATAACAATGTAATGTCTTTTCAGAATTCTGTCTAACAATGTGAATTGTTTAGTGTTTGAGCTCGGTGATATTCTGTTCCATCAAAACTAGCATGTTGGACACAGTTGCAGATGGAGAAATGAACTTTACAATTTTCTTCTTTCATTTTATGCATGAAATAACTTTCTCAAGGACGAAGTACATGTATTCTTTTGAACTTTATACGTCTACACGGTAACAAAGAGTTTCTAATACTTTTTATTCCAGATTCGTGGCTAGATTGTCCAAGTGGAAAGATGAGCGCATGGTGTGCAAAACGATCACTCCTTCTACCAGCACCTCCCCGACTACTTCACCCATAATTTGCCTCATGTTATCCTTTTGGTTTTACTGTACCCCTGTTGGACTTGATCTTGTCTTCCTATCCTTTATGTTGATATATGCTGTATGACCTGTACAGATACTTGCAGTCCCTTTTGAAACCATAAACGAAGGTTTTAGAGTAAAAAAATTAAAGGCAACACAAGAAAATCGAAAAATGATTAACTTATTCGCGTAGTTTTGACATCAGAAACACCGAAACACGAGCTATTATTGTATGATGTCAATTTTTGTTCGCGTTTATATATAACCTCCATAGTTGTAGCTCTCTGTTTGGACGCTGCTAATGCATGATTATCTTCGTTCTATTCTTAATTATTGCACTTTTTTTTATTAACGAAAAGCATCAGGCAATCAAGTTCCACGACTGCTTGGAGGCCGGATAAGATGACAAGAAAACAATTAATAGGGAATGTGTTAGTCTGTGCTGTCAGTTTACCCAGATTCGATTCCTTCACTTTTTGTTCGTCCTGTCTTGATCTTTGTTGTCAGATTCCAATCTTTGAAGGTCAGCTTTCCCACGGCTTTATTCCAGCGAACAAGGTTTCCACTAAGTGTTACTGACGATAATTCTCGGGTTCAATTCCTGCTAATGGTGTGACGAATCTTGAGAATGTGACTCTAAATAACTTACTCTACTAATATGATGTATTGATTTTTCTCAAGTCGTGCAATTTCTGTTTCGATGCTGCAAGTGGAAGGAGAAACAAACGCCTTCCACTTGCAGAACATTTGTTTTCTTTCAACAACATCAGTTCAAGAAAAAATACGAGAATGAACAGTCGATGATGAGAGAATAATGAAAGGCCCACTTTATTTTATTCCTTATCCTGTTGTCTGCAAACGAGGTCTGTATGTCGTCTAAGAAATTGATGGTGCAATAATACTTTGGGAGTCTAGCCTTAAAGGAGGTGTGCACTTTAAGTCAAGGCCGGGCTTCTTAGACCAGATAATATATTACAGTAAGTGAAGGTGTGAAACAGAAAAGTCCTGGTGACTTCCCTTCAGATGACCGAACCAACGACTGTCGTGCATGCTTGTAGTTAGAGGAGTAACAGTTACGAGAGAAGAATATCGACGCTCCGCTTTTTGAAAAGTTCTAGTATCGAATAAAGAACCGGTGCAGTTCCTGTAGAGACGACAAACGCGGGGCGGACAACGGAAGGATTGTTGAATGTTGAATGGCTGCTGCGGGCAGCAGCCGGCGGGCGTGCGTGCGTGCGTGCGCGACCTCTGAGCAGCTCATCATCGTCTCTGATCCGGTGTCAGCAGACAGACAGACGGGCGAGCAGAGCAGAGCAGAGCAGAGCCAAGGGAGGCGAAGGGAGGCGCAGCAGCGAGGGTCATCGATGGAGGAGGTGCTGCGCTGCGGTTTTGGAGGAGGATCTTGTCTCGTATAGTATCGGAGCAGATAGATAGACGCGAGAGTGGAGCTCTGGTATCCTGTTGAAGGCGCAAGATGGTGATGGCGATCTTGGACCCGGGTCCGGTTTCGTATTCAAGAAAGCAAAGAAAGGCGTAGTGGTTGTCGGTGACAGCAGTAAGGTGTAGCGCGTGACGATAGCGAGCGGATGCACGACGTGGATATCAGTAAACATTGTGGGTGCACGGGCTCTCGTGATAATTGCACCGAAATTCATTAAACGCTGAAAGAGTTTGGTAATTGATGCTCGGATGCATTAAAGAACGAGGAGTCGAGGTTGTACCGGTAGAGGAAGATATCGATGTGGATGTGGTTTCTGGGCGACGAAGTTCTCGAGCAGCACGGTAATTGCTCATGGATGCAGGCGAAAGAAATTGGAACTTGTACCTCTAATCTGCGGAGCCGGTGCACGTTTGTACCTTTCAAGTTCGTCTGCAGCTTGTAGAAGCCGCCAATTCACTGCGGAGAGCGACCGGTCATGATTTTTATAAGTTCGAACTTTTGAGTGCGAATCTCAAATGTTTGAGCCAGTGCTACATTATCAGTAGGATTAAGCGCTGCAAATTTGACGAAGAATCTGCGAAAATTTTTGCGACTGGGAGGAATTACTAAGACGTAATTCACGTCTCTGAACTGCTCGAGGCAAATACAACAGAGGTGAGCTTATCGACTGGGCTACACTCTGTAGATCTTGATGCTCTTACTTCACAACGATACATCACACCTCGAGGCAATTCAGAAATATGTGGAATTCTACACTCATATCTTAAGTCGTCTTATACATTCCTCATTTTCATTTGCGCACATGGTTTCTGAGTCTTTTCAACAAAGATCATGGACACTGGGTTGTCAGTGGGAGAAGAGGAATTTAATGAATGTCTCGCTCAAGTTCACGGAGCCCGAATCAGCAGAGACATCCAAGTTGCAGAATTTGGCCAAATTTCACGTGGACCGATTGTGGCACGTTGTACGCTTGAAGGATCCGAGGAGAAATCAAGCACGGGGTTTAGATGATTCGTACGTTCGAGTGAATTTTATATACATTTGAGTAGATATAGCGTGAAGATCAGATACTTTGCTGTCCGACTCTGTCATCAGATTTCGCGTTCAGCCTACTGCTCACAGTTTGTAAGCCAAAGTATGTGTTCAGGTCTGGAGAGTTCAAATTACGTCAAAACTCGAGGGGGTAGGCAGGGCAGCCTGGAATCTACCCCCGAAACGATGATGAAGCTTCGTTTGCACATACACAAATATTGTGCAGACGGAGATATTCGCACTGAATTTTGCATCTGATCAGGAAGTTAGGCCTCGATCAATTTTTGGTAATCAGCTGATATGTGACTCCTGAATTGTGTTCCAGAACGCATCGTCGGCCTTGTTGAGTTCATTATAATTTCGATTCATACTCTATTCCCGGTAGCCAGACCGATGACAAAGCTACACTATACCACTGCTCGGGGCGAACTGACGAAACAGTCTGGAGACATCTGTCTATAATTGCCACGAATATAGCGGGTTCTAGTCCTAGCGACAGTAAGAACTGAGCCGCATCTGATCATGGCGAGCTCTGACATTGAGAATCTTGCCTCAGGTGCTGCGCGCTTGCTTTAGGAACCCTCAGTTCCCATCTTTCGTTTGAATTTAGTGGTTCTTTTCAGGATTAGTGTAAGTAGCTTCTTTTTTTCTTACGGAATCATTCAAAAGGGCCGTGCTTTTGGTGTTTATTGGTTTTGTTCATTATTGTCAATTCTCACAAGATGTGATTGTGCAACCAGACTTTGATTCGAATGCGCACATTACACCGTCCTCCGCATGCGCAATTCGAGATGCCAAGCCTTCGGTTATCAGGTACGTCCAAATTCCCTCAAGCTGTTTCACCCTCTTCACGGCTTTCCTTTTACGTGAACTTGATGTTGTATCAGGTCGTGACATCAAATTCTCAATTTCTAGATGTCAGGTATGTTCTGTGTTTCTTGATTGTGGTCTTGCTTACATGGGAAGTGTAGGCAGGAGCGCCCACCTCTGGAGGTATCTAACAGTAGCAATTACTTCCAAAGTAGTTCTCGGGTTCTCAATGCTGCAACAGCTAAAGTGAGTTTCTATATCCCTTATACAAATAGTAATATTGCTCCAGACAGCTATGTCTCATTTAGTCACCATCGCTATCTCGCCTTGTGTATGATATACTGGAAGACTTTCGCAGCCGCTGAAATTTGAATACTTGCGATTTAGTAGCAACCATCTACTGAATGAAAGCTTTCTGTTGGGAACAAAGTCCATTGCTAATCTATTGAGAACTGGATTGATGTTCAGTGGACCTGGCTTCAGAAAGGTGGAGTTTTTGAAGGAAATATTTTAGACAGCCAGCACGATTTTTCCCTTCAGGCATGTTAATGTTCCACCATCGGATATCAAGAAACAGATGTGCACTAAAAGTTTCAGAACGTACTTATCTTTGCTTTAATGTTGGCGATGTATACATCACTTGAACAGAATCTCTAGACGAAAGAGCGTGGTAAGTCGCTGCCGTGATTTATTTCGAGGGTTCACAACTCGTTATTGCTGGTTGAAACTGACGGCTCAATAATGGTTGTGGCAGGCAAGCAAAGAATTGGTGACAGCTACCATCGATGAACATCATCTTACTTCTGGAAATGATAAGCTTTGGGAGGGGCAGTTGAATAGTGACAACAGTAGACGACACATGGCAACGGATGAGCAGTTTGTTGACGATCCTTTTTCAGTGGAACTTCCCGGTATACAGTCGTCGTCTCTGAGGCATATATTTTCCTCAAGCTCCAAACTTGCAACGCGGGATGAAAATTCTTTTGGAGAAACTTACAGCGACCGAGATATCACTCAAGGGTTAGAGAGTTGTAACTTATTAGGGGAATTCATCGATGTTGATCGTGAAGCTGGTTTCGGAGAAGACGAAGATTTTGCAGGACAAGATGAAACATCCAGGTCTGTACTTACCGACAGCACGGAAGTCAGCCACTCTGAAGACGAAGACCTGGCACATTTAGAACAGCTTATGCAGCCCAGGTTTTCTAAAGATGAACACACCCAAACGAATTCCAGTAAGTTAGAACTTAGACTAGGTGGAAGGTACAATGACCACTGCTCAAATGTGGCAGACAATCAGGTAGAAGAAGATAGTTCCCAGGACCTGGGAGACAGTACGTCAATGCAACAACACGCCACGGAACAGAAATGGTTGACTTTGAGCTCCAGCAAACAGGAAGATGGTTTGGGTTACAGCCATACGGATTTCTGGGTGGAAGAAAGATCGAAGGAACAATTTGAGGATGAAGCAGCAGTGTGGAAGAAGAAGGGCCGGAGGATGAAACATCGTATGAAGGGATCTCATTCAAGCAATGATTCCCCGATGCAAAAAAACCCGGATTATGTTGGACATGTGATGAAGGATATGCTTGCGGAGCTTAGAGTTGATGGACAACGCGTTTCCACAGACTTGGGCGAGGAAGTTGGGGGCAAACACCTGTGGCCGAGGCTCGCCCATTCCGAAAACAACGGCAATTCTTACAGGCTAATGGTTATGGCCTTTGAAGAGCTGCTGCGAGAGTTCGAGGAGAAGGCGAACAATAACAGGAAGAAGTTGGATGACGTCCTTAGAGCAAAGGAGGAAGACGCTGCATTGATGCAACGGCAATGTAGAGCTTGGTTTGAGAAGGAAAACCAGTTGAGGAGCCGCATTAGCAGCCTGGAGCTACATCATTGCAGACTTTCAGACTTGTTGAGAGAGACGGCTGCAGCTTTGACCTCAGAGAAAGACAAGAGGAAGGAATCCCGATTTGAATTGGAGGCAGTAATGGAATTGTTGAGGGAAGAGAAGAAATCGCATCATGAAACGCTTGAGAATCTCAATAAGTATATAAATTCCGTCAAGAAACTGAGAGAAAGCCTTGGAGCACAGGTTTCTTGTTCTGCCAAAGAGGGAGGTTCTCTATGTCTTGAAAGTGTGGAGTCGGTTATGAGAGACATGGATAGAGAGCTCCAGTGGACTAGTCGCTCTACCCCAAGTAAGAGTAAAACATGTGAATCAGCACTTGAATCATCAAAAGTAGATGAGCTGAACCGGGTAAAACAGCAGCGAGATGCAGCTGAGAAGGAGCGAGATCAAATCGAAGAGAGACTGAATGCTCTACTAATTGAAACCAAAGAAGGACATGGAGAAATGGAAGCTTTGTGGCTGGAAAGGGAGAAGTTAATGGAGCAGAAGGTGGGATGTCTTGAGGTTGAACTACAATATCTGCACACAAAAAGTCGACGGAAGGAGACCGAGGTAATGATCGAAAGGCAAAGATGGGCGGACGAACTAGAGAATTGCATGCAAGCTTGGGCAAGAGAAAGAAAAGCTTGGGAAGCTACTCTGAAGGAGAGAGTAGAAGTAAGCGGGCGATTTACGGCTGCTACAGATGATGGAGAAACCTTGCAATCACCTGATCCATGTTATACTAATATGGGCAATCTAGTTCAGGTTACAGGGGAAGTCGCGGACATTGAATGCGAGGAGGAAAAGGTGAAGGAGAGGCAGCGGGAGAAAGCGATCGAAGATTGGAGACAAGTAGCAGAGCAACATAAGCAGGAGAGGAAGGAAACAGAGAACAAACTCTCGGCAGCTCTGATCCTGGTGAAAAACTTGGAACAGAATATCAAGGTTCAAGAAGCAGAGATGGAAGAGGAGAGAAATCGAATGGATAGCTTAATGTCGAAAAAATCAGCGGAGTTGGAAAAGCTGAAACAAAGTCTCAAGTCTAAAGAACGTGACTTAGAGGTTACCATCCAGAAGTTCACGGACGAACTTAAGATGATAGACAAGGAGGTAGAGAGGGAAAGAAAGGAGAGAGAACAGGTTATGGAGATTCATTTTGCATCCAAACGACAATTGGTTTGTGACATCAAAGCGAAGGAAGAATCCTGGGAGAAAACACTAGAAGCCCGTAATCAGGAGTTGCAGATGGTAGTAGATCAACTGACAAGCAAAGAAAAGGAGCTTGGAGAGCTACACACGAAAGTTGACGAGGAGAAATCATTGAGAGAAAGAATAGCACTAGAGCTACAAAGGGAGAAATCGGTCAACAGGAAGGAAATGGAGGAGATGCTTTCTGATATCTGGAAAATATGCGAAGATGAAGGCATCCATGTAGCCGTAGCCCAAAAGCTTTTACCAGGTAGTGACCTGAGTCTAAGAAGGCCAATGTGGGAGTCACTTTGGCATGAATATTGTCGATCAAGACATATTTCTGACGATGCCACCGTTCTGCCTTCGACTATGGAGTGGGAGTTTACGCGAGTCAAAGTTTCTCGTTTCGAGAAGCAAATAACAGACGCAATGTCTGCCATCAAGAGCCTGCGAGATGAAGTCAAAGCGAAAGAAGAACAGCTTTCGAAGGTCAAGGCAGATCGTGAAAGGGAATGGGAGCAAAGGGAGGAAGACTGGGCTCAAGAAAAGGGCACCTTGATTCATCTCCTTGACAGCCTTCAGCAGAAGGAAGTGCAGCTTGCTGAGGAGAGGCATAGCAGGGAGGAAGAGTTCGCAAAGAAAATTGAAGCCATGGAGGAGTTGAGGAAAATTGAACAAGAAGAAGCTGCCGAGATGATTGCAAATCTTCAAGGATCAACCCGAGAGTTGGAATGGTGTTTAAAACGGACAAATAGTCTACCGTCAAGGAGGTTGAGTAACCCAAGAAATAGTAGTGTCCTTGCAGGAGGTCTCACTTACTCTCCCGATAAGAATGAGGTGGTAAAAGTACACTCCTCATACTTGGAGGAGGTGGACCGTTACATCTTTGACCTGGAAAGCAGGAAAGAAATTGGCGACAGTAGTTTAAGAAACTCACAAACTACTGAAGAAGGTGAAGTATCGGAAAACTCTAAACAGGACAACGACGTGCATAACGGCATGAGGCACACAATGGACAGTGCACTGCGCACCACTTCAGATGCCGAAGGAGACTTCAATCCTATGCTTGGCCTAGATGAAGATGGACGGTTGTCTCCTCGGGTCAGCAGAGAGTGGACTGGGATCGGGGGATTAGCTACAAGAGGAGCTCGTCAAAACGTTACCAGACCCCTGGAGAGAGGAATGTGCTTAACCCTGAACGGGCTGCATACCTTGACTCAAGAAAACTCCTGGGCGGAGGGAGGGGACGGAAATTTGCCGCTATGGCAGCCTGATAGTATCAAGAGGTATGCTCGCGTGTTTCGAGACAGTGACAATTTGAAGAGTTTGTGCGTGAGAAGTATTAGCTCAGTGGAGCGAAGCCGGAATGTTCTGAAGTTTGTTTTTAACGGTCACTACTGTTGGTGGCTGTGACGCTAACGTTCTCCTCAGTGTAGCGCTGAATGCAATTCCTGAGATTGTATGTGAGTATAGATGCATTTTTTTTTCTATAGATAAGTTTCTTTGTGCTGTAAAGGAGGAACTTGTGTTGGAAATACAATAGATGCACAGCTTTGTGAAGGCAGATACTTGTAGAGTGGAGTTGGACCGGTAAAATCACATTAATCTCACCACTTGGCTTGGTGATTTTTCAGGCTGGGACTCTCCGGTAGTTTTAACGGTTCGAGCAGCTGGATATCAGATGACGTGCACTCTTATCCTGGGTCTCCCACCCGGGGTTGCCTTGCCTTGCCTGGTCCTTCAACACCCTCGCGACGTCCGCAAAAGTGGCTTGTCGATACTAGCTGGCTGGAACAAGTTCGCAAGGTACACAGCGTGAAATCTTATAGTTGTCGTTACGCAGGAACGCTAGTTGTGTTGGTGTCATTGTCTCAATTTTCATGCTGCTAAAGAAATAGCTGCTGCCTTCACAAGTTTACTACATCTCCTGCTTAAGCTTGAAGCAGCACTTTTCAGTTTTAATGAAGAGCAAGTGCTTGAAGACTAAGTTAAGGCTTGCGATACAGCTCAAGGTTATTTCCACCTCGTAAGTAGCTCAACTAGTACATCGAAGCCACTAATGAGTAGCCACCTCTGAAGTGAACAAAGATAGTGCTTCTGAATGTGAGAAGTAGACGTTTCTCTAACTTTACTTTCAAAAATCAGGAGCATGCTTGGCTTCGGCAGCAGCTGGAAATCGAGAGGCAGCGCGTATCAGCGTTGGGCCGGGTAGGTTGCTGTCTGGACTGCCTGTCCTTTTATCGCTTTATCTGTTGAAATCAACTGAAATTGAAAACATATTAATTTGTTTCTCTCTGGGACGTGCACAAGTTTACTAAACTTAAGCTTTGGAGTTTCCTAGTCTTGAAAGACATCATGGAGTACGGCAAGTTTCAAAAAGTTTTTTTAATTGCTTCCGCTTTGACTCTTTGATTCCGCTCGCAGGTAGAAGCAGATAACCGATGGATAGAAGCAGCCATCATAAGAGCTCTTGAGCTCAAGCGCCAGAGTGATACCAAGGCTGCTGAAATGCAGCGAAAGGTATGTTTGTCAGCGTGTTTAAAGTTCCAAATGCACAAGGAAATAATGGCCAGTCTCTCTGTTCAGAGCTGAAGGATATCCTGACTGTTATTTTACTTTGTGCTTGTACACTTAGACAAGTCCCAGACGCATGGTTTAGTTCAGGTTTTCATGCGCTTTCTCATAACCAACTCCAGTCACGTGAAAGTCTAACATGACTCGCATAGGAAACACTAAAACTAGCTTTCAATACGGTGAGCCACGGTGTGAAAAGGTTATGTAATCGACAAGGGAGGTCATATAATCAACTATTTAAAAAAACACATCAAACCAAGTAGCCATAGTCCTTCTCACCCAAGTCGTATATCTACAGAATAACCACCAAATGCAGCCGACAGCTCTCATGACAGGAATGCCTTCGGGCACACCAAGTGCTAAATAGATATCAACGGAGGTACACCTTTCCAGGAATAAGAACTACAAGACTTCGGAGATTCAAAAAGTGAAAACCAAAGCCTCTAGCTGCTAAGAAGTAGCAATTATACATCTGAAGATGTTCATAATGAATTTTTCCAAAGAAATTTAATTACGAACTGATCAAAGATAGACTCTTCGATAGAGATCATGACGAACTTCACACTGCTAGCTTCACATGTTTTGAATTGCCACCAAAGTCAAAATCTAATAGTGAGGTGTAAACTGTGCAGCTGAACGCCATGGAGACTTTGTTTTCCCCGAGAAACAGAGTGAATAGCCGTCCTTGATGTAGACATACACGTGAACCTAGAGATGCAGGTTTGGCCAAGCCACCCTTATTGTGGCTCAAGCAACCAGGAATTTTGTTTCGTCATTACCGCTACCAGTTTGGTATATGCTGCGTTGTGTAGTTTCATAAGCAAAACAGTGTCACCAGCGAAAGGCTGAGTTGACACGAGCTTACATGGACTACTCTATCTACATGATGCAGATAAGTAGTGCGACTGAGCATACTCACGACTGTTGGTTGAGCAGGCAGTGCTGAGAGCAATTGATACTGTGGAGATTATAAGCGGCAGGTTAGGGGGTGAACTTTCGAGACTAGGTGCACAAGATGAGCTGACGCACAATGTATTTAGTAGATGGTAACAGATTTCATTGTAAACACGGGGATTTTTCCGTCTCCCCAGAGTCTAGATCAATTGTACAGATGCCCAAGATCAGACGACACAAGGAGAGAACGCAGTACCCCTTCCTGAGCTGGAGGAGATGATGATGAAACTTGAAGTCCACAGGAGACTCAACCGGGCCATAGGACTGGAACGAAATCAGGATGATCGTCAATCCGACGGGATGTAAAGGTTTCTCTAGAAGAGATGTCAAGGTTCTTCACTTGTAACGTATAATGCACTGGATTTAAGTTCAGTTTGTAATGAAGATAGTTTTTTCATGCCCGTGTGCTCACACGCTTGTTATCTTTTATACATGTAGTGATTGCCTAGAAAGAGTGTAACTCATGTTCTGACTGTCTGGGTCCATGCTCTGAAAATGGATGATACGACCCATGTACCTTACGTGTCAAATCAAATGATCCGCATTGTTACAGTGAGGGAAAAGTAGATAAGGATCAATTGCTGAAAGCCTCTTAACAGTTCAGTAATCTATGTATCATTTGTCGAACTCGATCAATCACAACTCATGTGAGGAAAAAATCTCTTGTAATTAAAACAAACGTGTAAGAGTACACCACAGTACTATTCGACTCGCTTAGTTGCACAAACTTTTACAAACGGCCGTACTGCCAGGTGTCAGGGATTCTAGTTTCTTTCTCCTCTTTCTTTCTTTCTTCATCCTCCCTTCGGGCTGCCCCGGATCAGCCGGATTTTATCTCAGTTTTGGGAACGGGGAGGCGGGGCACTTTGCGGGGAGGGAACGGGGAGGGCACTTTGCGGCAACCATGTAGAGGCCGCAACGTTGTATCTAGTGCGTTGCAATGATCGCAGTCGTGTCGTGGAACGTTGTGGGAAAAAGAACTAAAACTGAACTGCAAGAGGGATAGCTCAGATGGAATCCCTAATGTTCAGACTGTAATATTTGTAATGAAACGGTGATAACAAATTGAGGCGACGAAATTTTACGCGGCAAAGATTAGGGTTTTTGAAAATAGAATCACATCAATATTCTCCAGCTCGTCGTTTCGACGTCGCTTTTGGGTGCCAGTGTCAGTGCTTTGAGGAGCTCGTGCCAGAGCTCGTGCTTGTACTTTTCTTGTCATTTCAGGTGCTTTTGCAGGTGTGGTGACAGCATGGAGGCAGGATGGATTGTGCAGGACCCACCTTATGAAGGCCCTTTCAATTCGTTAATGTTGAATTGGTCAAATGGGACGGCCTACATCAAAAGCTCGAGGCTTAACGATTTTGTTTCGGGAGAGGGATCTTGTCATAGTGATGCGAAGACAGAATTTGTGACACGTTGCTCATACAAGGGTGGAGTTACTAGGCACAATTGGGAATCGTATGCAATGTATTATTGCAAGTATGGTACTCCAGAAAGGGGCAAGAAGAGTATGCTTTCCTCGAATTTTATTCAAGATCCATCAACAAAGGCAAAATTTGGTCCTGGCAGCAGGGATAGACTAGATCATGATTCGCATCACAAGGGCTGTCAGTGCAGGTTTAGTGCCATTAAACTGCTGTCTAATGATCACATTCCACCAGGAATCACAAAATTGATATACAAGCATAGAATACACGTAAATGCTGCAGGTGTAACTTGTCATGGCACAGCGTGTTCGGATAGTGTTGGCTTGCCATCTCAAATGGTGCGCAATTTATCCTCTGAATGCAGGTAACGGCATATTTGTTACATTTTCAATATATTTGTTTATCGTTCACAGTCAATCTCCCGTCATATTTGTAATATCTACAATAAGTTTGTTGTTATTACAATTTGTAAAACTTTGACACTAAGCAAGCACGTTGTCTAATATTTTCTACGTTCTTATGCCAGGGAGTGGGTTGAATGCGAGTTAAGAAGAGGTTTAACTCCTCCACAAATTCTCATGCGTGCTGCAAAAGCACTGTATGAAAATCATCAGCGCTTAGGCTATGTGCAAGGGTCCCCTATTAGAGATCATTATATCACATCTGCCGATATGTATAATATCAAATTGGAACTGGACAAAGAAACTTGGAGAAGGCATGCTAATGATAGAATTAGCACAGAATTATGGATGAAAGCGAATTCATCTCAAGTTGTTTTGTATCAGGCACCAAAAAGTGATCCATTTAAACCATTGAGGCTTGCTGTTACAAGACCCTTGCTCCTAGATTGGTTGCTAAAACATGGAAATGGAGGTTGTGTTGCTATAGATGGAACGCATGGCACGCAGAAGTATAAGGTAATATTCTACTACCACATTTTGATGTTTTTATCATTAGGCTTCCATGATTATGTATATTCTACCTTACTATTTGCAATCTCTGCAAGATATTTGAAAAAATGACGGTTTGGAGCTTTAACCAATCCAGTAAGAGATTATTGAACGTCTCAATGTGTGTTGTATATGTTGTTTTATATACCTTGATCACGTCTAAATTATCAAGACATAAAAATAACGAATCATTCATTTGTATCAGGTTTAGCTTAGTATCAATGAAGATGAATACTTTGTAGACGATTGCTAGCAGCAAACTGATACGTTTATTTCATTTTTTGCAATGCAGTATCCACTGTACACCCTGATGGTGTTTGACGAATATGAACACGGACATCCTACTGTTTTTGGATTCCTCGAAAGAGAAGAAACAGAAGATCTGGTGGATTTATTATCTGCAATGAAGAAGATGACCCAACATTATATCCCTGGATGGATGCCCTCGTGCTTCATGACAGATTGTGCTGACAATGAGAGACTTGCCCTAGACATTGTTTTTCCGCATATCCCTGTATTTCTTTGCATATATCATGTTCAAAAAGCATGGACAAAGAAATTGATTGAGGTTGTGAGTGGTCATGAAAAGAGAGCTATTATGAATGCTGCTTTAGAAGACCTGTGCTTTGGAAGCACATTAAATGCTGATGGAGAAGAATTTGATGTGGAAAGATCTGCTGCGATGAAGCTTCTGTTATTTTACAAAAAATTTCAGCTCTCTGAGCCACAATTTGTGAAATACTTTCAAACAGAATGGGAACCTTGTATGGGTAAGTGTAAGTTTGTAACATGTGCATTATATTTGAAGTTATTACATTTTGGAAGTTGTTTTTTGCTTAATGAACTTCCACAAGCACATCTAACTTACAATTTTTGGAATTCAGGTCAGTGGATTCGTGATGAAAGGAGGAACACATGTCGTAACAATCAAGATACCAACAACGCTATGGAATCAATGCATGGACACATGAAGGATTTCCTTTATGGCTGGCGCATGAATGCACATGAGCAACGTTTGGATCATACAGTATATGGTCAGCTAGGGGATTTTGTAATGAGAATTCGGTACAAAGATCAGAAGAAGCTACTTGGCTTTATTCCAAATAAGAAGAAATATCAACGTGTGATTGTTGTGATCATGAAGACAAGATCTATGCTAACTGTCCCTGTTACTTGGCCTCATGACTATGCAGGCCCCGCATTAGTGGGCTCTACATCAAAGCTAAATAGAAGGTATCTTGTAAATTGGAGACGAGAAAAGTATGCATGCGAGTGCTTCTGGTCACTCCAAGGCAACTTTTGCAAACATCAGGTACAACTCAGATTGTAATTCTGTCTTTGATTGCATATATTGGTCGTATCTGTATTTTTTATTAACACTGCTTGATTCATGTGTGTCTAGATTCTTATTCTACGAAGGAAAGGATATTCCGAGACCAACATCCGCATTTGTTTGGGCATACGGTTTGGTGGAATACGAGGTGGAATCAAAGAGCTCTTTGATAAAGGTCCTTCATCACAGATATATGATTTCAATGAGGATCCAGTCCTTCAAAGAGAATTTGCAGATATTGAAGTCAAAGATGATCGCCATGACGCCTTCAACCTTACAGAAGGTGCTTCAAACTGTCATTTTAATGTGCAATAATTGCATATATTTTGTAGAAATGACAGTTTGAGTGATGAAACTACCTAACCGTACATGTTCTATGTGTTATCAGATACGGACAGCCCTGTAAAGAAAGCATCTGGTCTTTCCTTCCTTCTGGAGGAGGAAGGAAAGACCAAGCGTGTTCTTCATACTCAATTGGTATGGCTGAAGGACTTTTTTGATAAAAATCCTAGTATGCTGAAAGTGGGAGAGCTAGAGCTCCGGCATTGCATTGGACGTATCAAGGAGTCTCACCAAGCATGGAGTACTGGTAGAATACTTCCTGTTGCAGACATGTGGCGTACATCCATGCTAGATAAGCCTAGCTCATCATTCAGGAAATTGAGTTGGCTTGAAAAATTAGCAGGCATTAAATGTCCTAAGCCACAGAGATTACTTGAAACAGGAGAAAGATTTAGAGCCCCTACCGCAGATTTAGGAAAGGTAGAAGAAGGAGCTTTACAGCTCAGACTTCGAAAGTGCAGGCAGAAGACCAAAAGAACTCGAAGTCTGATCAAGCAATTCCTTCAGGCAAGTGCAAATAGAGAAAAATGCAAAGAGGAACAAGCTAGAATTCTAGGAGAGACGATCGACTTGACTCTTTCTCCCTAAGTTGTTTGCTTGTGATGCATGAATGTTGTTTCAATTTCATAGTAAAATGAAACCATTTTGTCCAATTCCACATTTAGCTGATTTGCATGCGCTGATTACAGTTTGGAAATTTACTATGAACTCACGGTACACAAATTATTTGTTCAATGATGACAGTCAATGTTGCTAAGATGACGTTTCAAAATTAAGAAACTTGATTCTGCGTATTTTGATATTATTGAGATCCAACTTTTGATATATTAATGAATGTATCTGAGTGCTACTCAAGTTATATTAAAGGTGTGCTGGAAGAGACGTCTCTATGTAAGGTCTTTCTTGTTGGAGCTTGTTGGATTGCAAGAAGACGCGCCATCAGCTTGGATGTGACAGCTTGATATTCTTTAGTCAAAAGTCTTTGGAATTCCAGGAGCTGGAGGCAGTGAAATGTGCAAGGATGAGAAGTAACTTACAGCACCAGTTAGATCTTGCAAGACTTGAGCTTAGAATGTGTGATCTTGCTTGAATATTGAACCTCAGAACTTTACTTGTTCATTGCATATAGATTTACTTGAATAATGGGAAAAAAAACTCCTGTTTGAAGTTGAGGAATTAATCCTATCCATATTTGAACATGCACTTCACCTCTATATTCAATGACTGACCGGTATAGTCTATTAGACTGGACCATAGAATTTTTGGGTACACTTGTTATGATGAGGTTCAGAGCATTGCACGTAAGTAGCAATGACATTCATTCGTTGCATCTTTCAAAAAATACAAACTTTTTT